GGTGGTTTGGTATTAGTAGTTGGATGGTGAATGGGATGTTGGTCGTGGTGGTTGATGAGTGGTGAGTGGTAGAAGGATGTTGGTGTGGTGGTGTGATTAGTGGTTTGATGGTGAAGGATGTTGGTGGTGGTGATATTAGTGGTGATGGTGAAGGATGTTGGTGGTGGTTGTATTGGTGGTGATGGTGAAGGTGTTGGTGGTGTTTGTATTGTGTTGATGGTGAAGGGATAGGATGTTGGTTGGTGGTGTATTAGTGGTGATGGTGAAGGATGTTGGTGGTGGTCTGTATTATTGGTTGGTTGGTGAAGGATGTTGGTGGTGGTGTATTAGTGGTGATGGTGAAGGATGTGGTGGTGGTGTATTAGTGGTGAAGGGTGAAGATGTTGGTGGTGGTGTATTTAGTGTGATGTAGAAGGATGTTGGTGGTGGTGTATTATTGGTGATGGGTGAAGGATGTTGGTGGTGGTGTAGTAGTAGTGATGTATGATGGATGTTGGTGGTGGTGTATTAGTGGGTGATGGTGATGAAGGTGTTGGTGGTGGGGTGTATTAGTGGTGATGGTGAAGGATGTTTGGGAGTGGTGTATTAGTAGTGATGGTGAAGGATGTTGGTGGTGGTGTATTAGTGGTGATGGTGAAGGATGTTGGTGGTGGTGTATTAGTGGTGATGGTGAAGGATGTTGGTGGTGGTGTATTAGTAGTGATGTTGAAGGATGTTGGTGTGTTTGTATTAGTGGTGCTGGTGAAGGAGTGTAGGTGGTGCTGTATTAGTGGTGATGGTGAAGGATGTTGGAAGTGGTGGTGTAATTAGTGGTGATGGGGAAGGATGGGTGGTGGTGTGTGTATTATGGTGATTGGTGAGGATTGTTGGTGGGTGGTTGTATTAGTGGTGAGGTGAAGGGATGTTGGTGGTGCTGTATTCAGGGGTGATGGTTGAAGGATGTTGGTGGTGAGTGTATTAGTGGTGATGGTTGAAGGATGTTGGTGGTGCTTGTAATTAGTGGTGATGGTTGAAGGATGTTATGGCCAGGAGTATGTTGGTTAATCCCCCTTATGTAGCTGGGAGGCCAGTTGAACAGTTTCGACCCTGACACTTTTGTAATGGTCTCTTAACGTAGCTAGTTGACACCCCTGCTTTTATTGGGGGGATGTTGCATCGTCTGAGCCAAGTCTTTTGCTTTCGCTTTTGGAGTGATTTTCGTTGTTGCAAGTTCGGTACTAGTCCTCTAGGATTTTCCAGGTGTATATAATCATGTATCTCTCCGCCTGCGTTTCCAGGGAAAAAACATACAGGATTCAGGAACCTCAAGCGTCCCAGTAATTGAGGTTGTTGTATCTCCGTTTATGCAGCGCCGTGAAGGTTCTCTGTACATTTTCTTAGGTCAGCCAATTTCACACTGCCTTCAAAGGTGCTGTTAGTGTGCAGCAATATTCTAGCTAGAATAAAAGAACATGTGACCTTGAAGAGTCAGAGTGACTCATGTGCTTGGTCTCCCTAGTGTGAAGGTTATCTTATCCATCCTGTCATTTTTCTGGCAGATGCGATTGATACATGTTATGGTCCTGAAAGGTGAGATCCTCCGACATGATCACTCCCAGGTTCTTTGAGTTGGTGTTTCGCTTTATTTTTATGGTGGCTAGATTTTGTTTTGTACTCTGATGGAAGATTTAATTTACTCGGATTACCATATCTGAGTAGAGTCATTGAAATTTCTCATCGTTGAAATTCATATTGTTTTCTTGAAGCCCACTGAAAGATTTGGTTTGATGTCCGCCGGAGCCTAGCAGTGTCTGCAATTGAAGACACTGTCTGCAGATTCGGGTTGTCATCTGCAAAGGAAGACACGGTGTTGTTGCTGTGCTTGACATCCTTGTCTATGTCGGATTGAGGATGAGGAAGAAGATGGAGCGAGTTACTGTGCCTTGTGGAACAGAGCTTTTCACCGTAGCTGCCTCGGGAATTTACTCTGTTGACGCACTATTCTGTGTTCTGTTAGTGGAGGAAATTATAGATCCATCGACCGACTTTTCTGTGTTATTCCTTTAGGCACGCATTTTGTGCGCTATTACGCCATGGTCACACTTGTCGAAGGCTTTTGCAAAGTCTGTATATATTACATCTGCCATTCTTTTTGGTCTTCTAGTGCATTTAGGACCTTGTCGTAGTGATTCCAATGTTGAGGTCATACAGGAGCGACCTGTTCTAAAAACCCATGTTGCCCTGGGTTGTGGTGGCCGGTGGTCTGGTGGCTAAAGCTCCCGCTTCACACACCGGAGGGCCCGGAGTTCGATTCCCGGCGGGTGGAAATTCCAACACGGTTCCTTACACCTATTGTCCTGTTCACCTAGCAGCAAATAGGTACCGGGTGTTAGTCGACTGTGTGGGTCGCATCCTAGGGGTCAAGTTTAAGGACCCCAATGCGAATAGTTAGTCAGTCCTCGATGACGCACTGACTTTCTTGGGTTATCCTGGGTGGCTAACCCTCGGGAGGTTAAAAATCCGAACGGAATAATCTTATTTATCTTATTCTTAATGATGGGTTTCAAGATGGGTGGTGATCTGGCTTCTTAGGACCCTTTCAAGATTTTTTATGGATATGGTTGTTAGTGCTATGGTCTGTAGTTCTTTGCTGTTGCTTTACTGCCCCCTTTTGGAGTGGGGCTTTGTCTTGTTGTTTTTAGTAACTGTGGGACGACCCCCGTGTCCATGCTCTCTCCATAAGAGGGAAAAGGCTCGTGGTAGGGGCCTGCTTAGCAGTTCTTGATGAACACGGAGTTCCTATGAGGTCTGGCCCCTGGAGGCAGAGTGCATGGGCATGTTCATTTATCGCCTGTTCCGAAGTCATTTGGCCGTCAGGATAACATCGGATAGGCTTGTTGTTAATCAAATTTTGTGGATCTCTCATAAAAATTCATTTTGATCTTCGACTCTCAGTTCTGGTTAGCGGCTTGCTAAAAAACTGAGTCATATTTCGGACTTGAGTTCTAGCTCACTCATTTTCCTTGCTGTATCTGTGTAGGACCCATCTTGTTTAAGTAGAGGCCCCAATATGGACGTTGTTCCCGACCTTTGATTTGGCATAGGAGAGAAATACTTTGGGTTTCTTTCGATTTCATTTATGGCTTTTAGTTCTTCCGCGATTCGTGTCTCCTAAACGGATTATTTTAGCCTTAAGTTCGATGCTTGCTATTTCTCTGACCAGTGTCTCCTACGTCATTTCAATATATATTGACCTCTTTTATTTAGCCGCTTCTGTTATTCTTTTCCGTCGCCTGTTAAAGAGAGCGCCCTGTCTCTTTCTATTTTACATTACTCCTCCTTTTTCTTAGAGGAATATGCCTTGTGCATACATCGAGTTGCCACGTGTTAATCTGTTCTAGGCATAGTTGGGTGTCTGTGGTTGCTTAGATATTCTTCCCAGCTTATATCGTTAGACTTGGTTTTTGGTTCCACTTTAGTTTTTGTTTTGAAGTTGAATTTGGTGAATTGACTCCCTCTCGTGACTAGTCTTCATTTTGTCGGTCTGGGGCTCCACGCATTACATGTCTGAACCTCAATTATGTTGTGATCTGAGTATATTGTTTTTGATATGGTGATATTTCTTATCAGATCATCATTGTTAGTGAAGATGAGGTCTTAAACTTGGTTACAAGTATGTTACAGGTAGAGTGTGATCCTGGTACAAGATATCAGGGACAGGTTCAGTGGTCCCTTAAACACATCCTGGCTGTAATGACCCTACGGGTTTAGTGCACCCGCGTGATTGCAACAATAACTCTGGCATCAGAATTGTATTGAATTTACTAATTCAAGTTTGGTTTCTGAATTTATCTAATGGATTCATATTATATCTTATGTTGTTCTCTCCTCTCCTTGGATCAAACCTCATTACCTTGTATTCCCAGGTCTTGTGTCACCCATACGGGTTGAGCGCTTCTCCGTGAGTACACTTATGCTTAAAACCGTTCATTAGTCAGGTCCTGTTTGACAGGTTTAGCGCTTGTCCGTGAACGTCACATTACTATACCCCTCATGGGCCGGGTGGGACTCGAACCCATGGCAAGTAAGTGATAAAACTCACAGGCCAGCTGGGCCAGCTGGGCCAGCTGGCTCTAGTAAGATTCATCCAACTAGATATATTTCTATACACCATAGGAAGGTTAGCATGGGCCACCACTATGACCACACAGCCAGGCTCCTGTGTGTGAGTCAGCTGTTAAAAACCTACATTTGTGGTGGTCGCAGTTGGTAAGCCCCATTGAACCTTCCTATGGTGTATAGAATATACCCTTGAATGAATCTTATACAGCCAGCTGGCCCAGCTGGCCTGTGAGTTTTGTCACTTACTTTCCATGGGTTCGAGTCCCACCCGTTCCCTTAGTTGTTTACAGTCGTGTTATTGTAATTTCGTGAGTCCCAGAAGCTTAGCTCAACTAAACTTTAACCATTAATAGTTTAACTTCAAGTTAGAGTAATATACGCCCTTCCTGCTAGTGAGGGGCTCTTGATCCAGGGAAGTGGACCTGTTCTTTCCTTCCTTAAAAATGCCTCTCATTCCCCGGGTATTATATTACCCTCCGAATTTAGCGTTTCCCTCCCCCTCCTTCCCTTGGAATGAACCATAATTAAAACACTCCCAGCGCTGCCCATCCTACCATTATTGCTATGTTTATTATCCAAACTGTTGCAACTCCTCGCTAGTCAACCTTATAAAAATAAACTATATTCTTTATTCCGTTGATGGCGAGTGTAGTGCGCTTGCCAGGCTGATATTGTTGTTGCCTTCTACAGGTGGCAGTCAGGCTGAAACCGGAACTTCTGGCCCAACTGGAACGATTAGTGGTCGTTCCCTGTAACGAAGAGTCTAGTCCCCTGCCCACTTGACGTGTTGTAGCTTCTGCAGGGTAGCGCCCAAATGAAGGCTGAAACACCCCTCGCAGAGCCTGGAGAGGATCCTGGACAACAAACCTGGCGTCCTCCTGTTAGTTGTCCCGACGCTGGGCGCAGAGATGACAGGAGCTAGCGGCGCAGGGGGTCGAGGAAGAGAGTGAGGAGGTAGTGTGTAAGTGTGTGAGAGAATTAATGATTATGTGTGAGTGGGAGAGAGGAAGGGAGTGAGAGAGGGGATAGGAGAGGAGAAGGGTGGGCAGCAGGGTCAAACTTTGCTGGGACTCCCTCTGATTGTGTCCATCACATCATGAATAACTGCATGCACGCAATTGCGCACAAGCACGCTCATGCACACACAGCACATACGCACATAAACACACACACATACACACACATTTTGTTAATGGTTACAACATTTAGAAAGACGTACACTGCAACACACTAATGGCTTGGTGTACACAGACACCTGGGACAGCATTGTGAGCACCTAACATACTTGAGGACCCCAGTAAACTTTGACCCGATGTGTACACCTTACCTTGGCGGTCACTGTGCTCTTCCCTCTAACATATAATGATTTGCAGTACTGAAGAGTTATCTTCTATGTCCATACAGGCTTAGGGCTTCTCATGTATATCTAAAATATCATTAATAGCAGATATAGTTGTAAACTAGATGTAATGGAGTTTAGTAGTGACCAGATGTAAGGTTGATTCTAAACAGCTAGGTGCGCGAGGTTGTTAGGTCAAGTGTGTCTGTGTGAGTTGGGTGGGAGGGAGAGTTTGGTGTGTGTGTGTGTGTGTCTGTGGGTGATATTTCTGCTCATAGCATCAATATTTTATACAATATTTTATCTATTATCTATTCTGCTTATCTCTATTATCTATTCTGCTTTTTTTTTCTGATTAATTTTAATATTAATGTGTATGGAATCTGGGTCCACATGTTTGATGACTGTCCTTAGATAGATAGCATGCTTTCTGATTTATTGATTGGTACTTGCCACTGTACCATTGTACCTCTGTGCCACACTGTTACCATCTGTACCAACATGTACTCTGGTGCCACACTGTAATCCTCTGTACCACACTTGTACCTCTGTCAACACTGTACCACACCGCACAATCTGTACTATTATTGTTACCATATTGTACCTCTGTGCCACCAATGTCACATCTGTACAACACTGTACCACACCGCCACATCTGTTAAACCATTGTTACCATATTGTACCTCTGTGCCACCACTGTACCTCTGTACAACACTGTACACACCGCACATCTGTACCACATTGTACCTCTGTGCACACTGTACCTCTGTACAACTCACTGCTACCACACCCGACATCTGTTACCACATTGTACATATGTACCTCCTGTACCACACTGTACCACATTGTACGTCTGTTCCCACACTGCCCACCGCACTGTCAGTGCTCCGGCCGTACATTAAAGTACACTGTAACTGTGCTTCATCTCAACCTCCTAAAGAAACACAGCTACACAGCCCAACTGAACCTTCATCATCCTGATGGAATAACAACACGAACGTCTTCTATGTACACACACTACTGTACGTACATGTCTTCGTCATGTACACACACTACTGTACATATGTCTACCGTCATGTACACACACTACTGAACGTACATATCTTCATGTACACACACTACTGTACGTACATGTCTTCTTCATGTACACCTACTGTACATATGTCTACCGTACATGTACACACACTATGAACGTACATATCTTCATGTACACACACTACTGTACACATGTCTACCGTCATGTACACACACTACTGTACACATGTCTACCATCATGTACACACACTACTGTACACATGTCTACCGTCATGTACACACACTACTGTACACATATCTACCGTCATGTACACACACTACTGTACACATGTCTTCGTCATGTACACACACTACTGTACCACATGTCTACATCATGTACACACACTACTGTACACATGTTAAGTCTGTACACACATGCTGTACACATGTCTTCGATCATGTACACACACTACCTGTACACATGTCTACCGTCATGTACACCACACTACTGATACCACATGTACCGTCATGTACACACACTACCTGTACACATGTCTACCGTCATGTACACACCACTTACTGTACACATGCTTCGTCATGTACACACAATACTGTAACAAATTGTTACCGTCATGTACACACACTACGTACACATGTCTTACCGTCATGTACACACACTACTGTACACATGTCTACCGTCATGTACACACACTACTGTACACATGTCTACCGTCATGTACACACACTACTGTACACATGTCTACCGTCATGTACACACACTACTGTACACATGTCTACCGTCATGTACACACACTACTGTACACATGTCTACCGTCATGTACACACACTACTGTGCACATGTCTACCGTCATGTACACACACTACTGTACACATGTCTACGTCATGTACACACACTACTGTACACCATGCTACCGTCATGTACACACCACTCGGTACACATGTATACCGTCATGTACACACACTACTGTACACTTGTCTACCGTCATGTAACAACTATGTACACATGTCTACCGTCATGTTCACACACTTACTGTACAACATGTACTACCGTCATGTACACACATACTGTACACATGTCTACCGTCATGTACCACACTACTGTGCACATGCTACCGTCAGGTTACACACACTACTGTACACATTCTACCGGCATGTTACCACCACTACTGTGCACATGGTCTACAGTCATGTACACACACTACTGTACACATGTCTACCGTCATGTACACACATACTGTTGCACAGTCTTACGTCCATGATACACACACTACTGTAACATGTCTTCGTCATGTACACACACTACTGTATACACATGTCTTCCGTCTGTAACACACTACTGTACACATGTCTACCGTCATGTACACACACTACTGTACACATGTTTTCGTCATGTACACACACTACTGTACACATGTCTTCGTCATGTACACACACTACTGTACACATGTCTTCGTCATGTACACACACTACTGTACGTACATGTGTTCGTCATGTACACACACTACTGTACACATGTCTACCGTCATATACACACACTACTGTACACATGTCTACCGTCATGTACACACACTACTGTACACATGTCTACCGTCATGTACACACACTACTGTACACATGTCTACCGTCATGTACACACACTACTGTACACATGTCTACCGTCATGTACACACACTACTGTACACATGTCTACCGTCATGTACACACACTACTGTGCACATGTCTACCGTCATGTACACACACTACTGTACACATGTCTTCGTCATGTACACACACTACTGTACTCACGTCTACCGTCATGGACACACATACATTACACATGTCTACCGTCATGTACACCCATACTGTACAATGTCTTCGTCTATGTACACACACTACTGTACACATGTCTCCGTCATGTACACACACTACTGTACACATGTCTTCGTCATGTACACACACTACTGTACGTACATGTGTTCGTCATGTACACACACTACTGTACACATGTCTACCGTCATATACACACACTACTGTACACATGTCTACCGTCATGTACACACACTACTGTACACATGTCTACCGTCATGTACACACACTACTGTACACATGTCTACCGTCATGTACACACACTACTGTACACATGTCTACCGTCATGTACACACACTACTGTACACTTGTCTACCGCATGTACCACACACTACTGTACACATGTTACCGTCATGTACACCACACTACTGTACAAATGTTCCGTCATGTTCAACCACATCTCTGTACGTAATGTGTTCGTCTGTCACACATACTGTACACATTGTCTACCGTCATATACACACACTACTGTACACATGTCTACGTCATGTACACACACTACTGTGCACATGTTCTACCGTCTTGTTACTCACACTACTGTACAACATGTCTACCGTTCATTGTACACACATACTGTACACATGTATACCGTCATGTACACACACTACTGTACACATGTCTACCGTCATTTCAACACACTACTGTACTCATGTCTACCGTCATGTACACCCACCACTACTGTACACTTTCTCCGTCATGTTTTTACACACCACTACTGTACACATGTTCTTCGTCAGGTACACACACTACTGTACGTACATGTGTTCGTCAGTACCACCACACTATGTACACATGTCTACCGTCATATACACACCATACTGTACACATGTCTACCGTCATGTACACACAATACTGATTACACATGTCTACCGTCATGTACCACACTTACTGTACACATGTCTACCGTCATGTACACACACTACTGTACACATGGTATTCGTCATGTACTCAACTACTGTCCACATGTCTACCGTCATGTACCACACTACTGTACACATGTCTACCGTCATGTAACACACACTACTGTACACAGTTACCATCTTGTCCACACACTACTGTAACATGTCTACCGTCATGTACACATCACTACTGACCACACATGTCTACACGTCATGTACACCACACTACTGTACACTGTCTACCCGTCAGTAACACACACTACTGTTACACATGTCTTACCGTCATGACACACACTATGTTACACATGTCTTCCTCCATGTACAAACACTACTGCTAACATGTCTACCGTCATGTACACACACTAATGTGAACATGTCTACCGTCATTGTACACACAATACTGTACACATGTTACCGTCATGTACACAACACACACTACTGTACACATGTCTACCGTCATGTACACACACTACTGTACACATGTCTACCGTCATGTACACACACTACTGTACACATGTCTACCGTCATGTACACACACTACTGTACACATGTCTACGTCATGTACACACACTACTGTACACATGTCTACCGTCATGTACACACACTACTGTACACATGTTCTACCGTCATGTACAACATATGTTCACATGTTCTACCGTCTTGTACACACACTTACTGTACACATGTCTACCGTCTTGTACACACCACTACTGCTGCACATGTCTACCGTTCATGTAACACACTACTGTACACATGTTCTCCCGTCATGTACACACACTACTGTACACATGTCTACCGTCATGTACACACACTACTGTGCACATGTCTACCGTCATGTACACA